CTGGGTCGCTATGGCATGTGGGGGTGCTGGCTGTCACAGACACAGCTCAGCAGCGGCCACGGCGCATTTCCCCTCATAGCCGCTGCGGAGCTGTGTCAGTGACAGCCAGCCGCTGCGGCAGATGAGGGCGGTGTTCGGAATGGAGGAGGCGGGGCCCGCCACCTCTTACATCACTGGCCAGCGACCTAAGAGCAGGTGGGGCCAGTGATGTAAGAGAAGGCAGGGCCCGTCGATAGCAGAGGAGGCGGGGCCCGGGGACGGAACAGGAGTCAGGGCCCGGGGACAGAACAGGAGTCGGGGCCTGGGGAAGGAACAGGAGTCGGGGCCCGGGAACGGAACAGGAGTCGGGGCCCAGCAACCACAGAGGCGCTGACAGGTAAGAGATCTCAGACCCTGCAGAGCCCACTATAGAGAGTCTATGGTGGGCTCTGCGGGGTCACTCTCCGCTGGGGCTCTGCAAGTGGCATGACTAGCAATCACGTGGCCCCATACAAAATTTTGCTATGGGGCCCTGTGATTTCTAGTTACGCCCCTGCCCTTTGCCATATATTTTGTTACTGAAGTTCCATGTTACACAGGTGCTATGTTTTATATCGCCTTGTTGCCATATACCATGTTATAGAGGTGTCACAATAAACGGGTGCTTTGTTAGCATATATCATATTAATGAGGTGCTATGTTGACATATACCACGCTCTACACATTATGTTGGAATGTATTGTGTTGTAGAGGTGCACCATCACACAGGTGCCATACTTCCATGCAGTGGTGTATTTTGGTTTTGTGCTGCCCTAGGCAAGACTAAACCCGAGCACCCCCAATCCCAAATCTAAATTAGTCCCACCCCTTCCTGTTTAAGACATTTTGCATACCCTGTCAGTCGCGGGATACAGTGCGCACGGTGTATCTAGATTCTGACAGGTTGTGCTATCAACATAGCGGGATGCTCAAGTTCTACCTTTGCAATAGCCACCTTCTCCATTTCTGGCTTGATGGGCTCCTTTGTTCTGCAGCTACAATATCCATTCTCTCCTGCCCTGCCATGCTATGCTAGTCTCTAGTTCTGCAGCTGCAACACCAATCTTCTGCCTTAATATGCTGGGCTGTCTAATTCTGCAGTTACCAATCTTCTGCCTTGGCCGCTGGGCTAGAGACATAACCCTGCACGGAGCTTATAGGCTGCACTTCCTTGGTCTCCCCACCACGGAGGTGCTGATGAGCACGATGACCATCTGGATCTCAGCCCTGGGGTCCTGCGGAGATTTGGGTGCTGGTTTCCCAGGGAGGTCCGGCGCACGAACTGCCAGTGCATCCGGACGAAAGTCACACACACCAATACATTGCACAGCATGTAGACCAGGAAGAGGAAGGAGCTGCCGCCAGCATATATGTTGGAGTAGGCAGCATAGGTGGACACATTGGTCCCCCAGTCAAAGAAGCACAAGGTCCAGGGGTACTGGCAGTAATTTATGAATCATTTATAATATAATTTTTTTTTTTTCTCTTACCTAACTGGTTTGGGGGTAGCATTTTTTGGCGCCCCCCTGGAAAGTGCCGCCCTAGGCAAATGCCTAGTTTGCCTTGCAGTAGATACACCCCTGCTTCCATGCATTATGTTACACGCTATCAACTAACATAGGTCACATATTAGGCAGGTGGTATGTTCCTATATAATATACTAATCATCCTCTTTCCCCATCTTTTCTGTTTAGGGACCAAACAGCATCTGGATGACATTTGTATTTAGTAGGTTGGAGGGATGTTTGCACCGTCTATTCTTTAGAGCAGTATAATATACTGACTCTTACTGGACTGCATACCTTTAGTGCACCCATCTCAGCTCCTGATTGACAGTTGGGATGAGTGCACTGGGCGCATACACTTCAGTGAGAGGTTCAGACACTCCGTACTGCTCCATAGAAACTGAATAAAAACTCCATTCTGCTGAACAAACGTTTTGTTTTTTAACAAAAGTCAGTCAAATGCTGCATTTTCCATATTATAATGTAGATGGCATAAGTGCAGGAGAAATTCCAGGCAGAAGACACCCTCCACACATTGGCGCCCCTAAGCATGGACCTACCATACCTAATTCTAAATCTGGAATTACCAATAATCTTTATCTTTATCTTAAAACTATGATTGTTTTGGCTCAGCTGCTTACATAATGCTAAGAGCAATGGTATGAGGTAGTCTTTATCTATAAACATTTCACCTTACAAAAGTCTGAATACACAAAACAAAATGAATACCCTTTGTGATTGTATTACATAAGCCCGTGTATCTGTGTCTACCATTGCTGTAGCTGCTAAGATGTAAGATGTTAAATACAGCTCATGTACAATCAAGGAGTTTCAAGACAAATTCTTTATTTTTTTAATCAAAGGTTGATTTTTTTGCCATCTTTTAAGAATAAGGTTTTCACCAGTGGGACAAAAGCTTAAAATTTGTACTTAAAGCCATAGCTGAAGATGCAATATAGAAACTGAAGAGTTATAAAGGACAATAGTGAAGGTAGACACCATGCCTGATCCTGGTGATGAATACACTTAGAGATGTGGTTGATGCAGGCCTAAATACCATTAAGCTTTCACAAGTGAAAATAGGGTGTCCACCTTCCCTACCCTCCTCTTACATGAAAAATGTGTTTTCTATTCGGTTTCCCACTGTTTTATAGTCCCAAAATTAGGAATAGCAATAGAGAATAATCTGGTGGTAATGCAGTAATTCAATATAGTGGTAAGCAGAAGATAGGAATTTGCACCGTGCCAAAGTGGAGCATGGGAGATTTAACTTCTGTAGCTTGACTGACTGGACGCAAATCGTACGCTGCTGCCACCTCCCCCGCCAGCTGAGAATCCATATCCTGCAGAGCTGCCAGAGCTGAATCCGTAGCCTCCAGCCGAACCACCACTGCCTCCAAAACCACCACCATAGCTTCCTCCAGCTCCACCATAGCTTCCTCCAGATCCACCATAGCTTCCTCCGGATCCACCATAGCTTCCTCCAGCTCCACCACCACCACCACCACTTCCCAGGGAGGTCTTTCCACTGACCACAGCTGTAAAGAGCATAACATTACATTTAATTTCATATATAAATAATACATCAAATGTAACGATATATGTTTGACAAACAAGACACAAAAGTATCTAAATACTTACAGATGCTCACATTGGTGTCTGTGGTCAACCTAAACATTTGTAGAAAGACACAACAGGGTTTTTTTAAAATAAACAAGCTGTAAAATTATGTCATTTGAAGTGAAAATAGGATTCTATGTATATGTTATCCAATGAAAATATAATTCTACTAATTATAGAATCGGTTTGGTAAATTTTCTATCATTGTTATCGGATGGGAAATGCAATGCAGCATGCAGTGGATAAAAAGCCAATATTTTGTTTCCAAACTACTGTATATTTACATAATGTTTTAAAATAATTGTGGTAAAAGAAGCCATATCCAAATGCTGTTTTTTTTTACTCCAGAAGAAAACCTTGTAAAAAAGTAATTCCGGTGTATGTAAACCCTAACAATAAACTTTGGAACTGTATTTGGGGTAAAGAGTTCCACAGGATGGGAGAGACTCTAGAGAAGTCCTGGAGGCGAGTATGGGAGGAGTGGACAAGGGAGCTTGAAAGCAGGAGGTCAATGGAAGAGCGGAGTGGACGGTTAGGGTGATATTTTGAGACAAGGTCTGAGATATATCCGGGGGCAGAGTTGTGGATGGCTTTATAAGTGACTGTTAATATTTAATTGTATCCTCTGGGCGAGTGGAAGCCAGTGTAGGGATTGGCAGAGGGGGATGCAGACACTGAGCGGTTGGTAAGGTGAATGAGTCTGGCAGCTGCATTCATGATAGACTGAAGGGGGGATAGCCTGTGTAGTGGAAGGCCAATGAGGAGGGAGTTACAATAGTCAAGACGAGATATAACAAGCGAGTGGATGAGTAGTTTTGCGGTTTATACTTATGAAAGTAAATGTGCCATTCACCAAATATTCACTGCAGGTGTACCCCCTCCCCCTGGTGCATGTGTTTTTACACATTACATTACCTGCAGAGAAAGATTGGTGAATGCCACATTCACTGCTTTATAAATGTTTGTTTTTCCAGGTTAATATATGTTTTATTCTTTTAATATTAACTTGCCTTAGTATAAGTCCAAAGCATTTACCAAACAGGGGGTAGCAACTTACCTGCCCCCTGGGCACCTGTGTTGCAACTTGTTTCTGGTGCTCAGCACTGAATTTGTTTTTGGAGACTTGGGACCTCATTTTTGACAACCCTGTTAAATCACCGACTGAGAAAATGAGGAGCCTCTATAGTGAACTTTGAAAATGAATTTCCCCACAGTGCCTATAGCTTGCAGAGGTCAGTGAGGAATTATTTAAAAACCAATGTACTGCTTATTCAGAATATGTAAATATTTCCATGTCTATAGGCTAGGCACCAGGGCAGTTTTGTTTACTCATAAATGTTTCATGTCATCAGATTTTTACACTGCTGCCCTAAGCAGTACCCAATAGGCTCTTTCTGATACGTTAGACTCTATAAACAGTACCGTATAGCACCTTTTTGAAGTGACAGGAATTGGGCAATAGATTGCAGCGCAATTAATGCAGTTTATTGTATTATGAAACACAGTGCAGAAGGATTCCTTACCTGATTTCTTCTCCTTCCAGAAGTTTCCTGTATGTGGCAATTTCCACATCCAAAGCCAGTTTGACATTCATCAGTTCCTGGTATTCTCTCAGTTGGCGAGCCATGTCCTGTTTTGCATTCTGAAGAGCTGCTTCCAGCTCAGCCAGTTTTGCATGAGCATCTTTCAGGACAAGCTCTCCACGGTCCTCTGCCTCAGCAATGGCTGTTTGAAGTTTGGCATTCTAAATAAAATAAACAAATACATTTTAATACTAAGAGATTGTGGAAACTGTCTATATACGATAACAGTTTTGTTATAGTATGGGGTTCAAGCACCACATGTTTTTCAAACACTTGCCTTCCATAGACCAGTTATGCCATTCCACTAACTATCTGGTTATATAAATCATGATCTTCAAGTCATTTATCATTTCATATGCACTCTGTTTATTAGGTCCTATTTTGCAATTTTGTAATTCCTAACACAGTTACATAATTAATCAGCTAGATTAGCTATTTACTCAAGTTGAAAAAAAGACACAGGGTTATCAAGTTTAATCAATAGAAAACAAAAATTTAAATCTCCATCCACAGGGCCCTACACCCACAATTCCATAGAAAATAGTTGTTGCTGAGTACAGCCACACCCCTGGCTCCAGCCAGTCCAAGGGGCAGCCGAGGCCTCAGTCTTGCTGCGGATGTATAACAACTGATATCATTAGCCAGCAGCAGCACTCATAGGGGATGCCTTGGGTTGTACGTTACCTCCAACTCACAAACACACCACACGTAATATGGCTCTGTACCAACTTTCTTTCTGAGATAAAGTGGCGAGGCATAACAATAATTGTAACCAATAATTAGGAGCCACAACCAATATATGAGATGCCACTATCCTGTAAATGTATACTTCTTCCATTGACTTTTAGCATTTAACAAACAGTGGGGAAAGTAGATAATCGTAGCAAAATGAGTTTCTCATGGAGTACAGTAACATTGGTTCATCATTGTGCAATTAAAGAGAACTTGTCAGGACAGCTATTATCTATTATGGTTAAGGTTTCAACCCAGTGCAGGACACTTTCGCTTGCTCAGTTCCCAGGAGGGGCACTAATATCAGAGCAGAGGACATCAGTGCAGCAACAGAATTTGCTTGTCCCCAAAGCTAGAACCATTTCCAGAGGTTAAATAATAACTGGTTGAGAACCTTGGCTGTGAGCTATCCTGAAAGGTCCCCTTCAAAATATAACAGTAAGGTCTGCGCATCATGTCTATAACACAATCAACTCAATAACAAGACAAAACATGCACATATGTAACTTATAACGCTGTCACTACCTCTAAATGGATCATATAATGTTGTATACATTTCCTGCAACTATCAACGCATAAGCCGTTATAAAAAAAAACATTATTCATAAAATTAAAAAACTAACTTCTAAAACTATATCTAGAAGATATTATCCAAAGCATAGAACACCTCTGTCAAGTGAGACATCAATAATGTGCACTTTGCAGTCATATAGAGCTTATCAACATGTGTTCAACACATAGGTATCTACCTAGTTAGTTCATGACGTACACAAAAATTCCATCCAGCTCAAACTTTATAAAGGAACTCACAGTTATGGTTCCTCACACTTTGTATTGTGTATGAAATGTCCATATCTATCACAAGAATGCTCTAAAACACTCTAAAAACAAATATCTTACAAACTGATTTCTGTACTCATGATGCCAAGTAATATATATTTCATCACATAGTCAGATAGAGCTGAGTGTTTGCAGCATTAACAGGGGCGACTGCACCAGGGCCCGAGGCTAGTGGGACCCATGGGACCCAGTGAGATCTGGTTCCGGTCCGGGTAGGGGGGAAGAGAGGTGTCCAACGGGCTTTTGAGCAGGGGGTGGGGTCCAATGGGTTCCTGCTCGGACTCTGGGCTGTGTTGCTAGTAACAGGTGGCGGAAGAGAAGAGGGGAGGGCCTGGCAGGCAAAATGCAGGTGCTGGGATAACTGGAAGAAAACTAGAGATGGAAGAGGCAGAAGGAGAAGAGCAGGTGAGAGGTGCAATGTATCAGAGTGTAGAATCTGGACTGTATGGGAGCCAATCAGAACCAGCACCGCTCAGAGATTCCTCACTGTGTATATAAAGATCAGTGTGTACATAGAGATCAATCACTGTCTGCCATACTCCCCACTGTGTATATAGAGATCACTGTGCCATACTCCCCACTGTGTATATAGAGATCAGTGTGTATATAGAGATCACTGTGTGCTATACTCACCACTGTATATACAGTAAACTCTCAGTTGCCCGGTATTCAACTAACCAGAACTCTCATCTAACCAGAAAAAAAATCCCCCTGTGTACTCACTGTTTTGCTGATATGCGTCATGTGTTATCCTGGAATGATCGTGTGTCTATTTGTCTTAAGTGTGTCTATTTTTCTTAATTTGCTTTTGATTACTGCATTTCAATATTAATATGAAATCAATAGAGAGTTTATGTTATGGTATGATATACAGTAGTATGGGGTATTGCATTGGTTAGACCTATTTTTAATAGTAACTCTCAAGCAACCAGAAACTACATTTATCCAGAATCTGCCAATCCCTGTGGATGCCGGATAATGGGGAGTTTACTGTATAGAGACCAGTGTGGATATAGAGATCATTGTGTGCCTCACTCCCCACAGTGTATATAGAGATCAGTGTGTATATAGAGATCACTGTGCACTATACTCCCCACTGTTTTTATATAGAGATCCAGGGGCGGACTGCTGGTGTGACAGGCTTCTGTGAGGGGGGTGGACTTTTTGAGAGGAGGTGATACAAGATTTTCAAAAGTTAGGTCAATAGTACACCAGAACTATAGTTACAGTTAGGAGATATTAAACATTAAAAATTGGTTTGACGTACAAATAGTTGCAACCCTGCTTAGATAAAGTCTGGGGTCATATTTTTAAGGCTATAGATTAAGGATATGGAATTGTTTCTTTAGGTTTCCTACCATGCCCCTGGAGTGTATTATAACTTTGCTGTTAGAAATATGTTGCTATGTTATTACAATGCCCTACCTGTTTTTTCACATTTTCGATCTCAGCGCGAAGCCTCTGGAGTTTGCGGTTCAGCTCAGAGATCTCATTTTTGGTAGTTTTCAGGACATCACCTTGTGCACCAGCAGATGCTTGCAACTCCTTGACCTATTGTTGGAAAAAAAGTTATTAATACAACAACAAAAATAAAAAAATAACATATATGTATTACCCCTTTTTACACAATAAATAGTATTTCTGGTCCTTCAGTCTCTTAGTATCACCTTGAGAATTTCTCGCAATACACTCACCTTGCTTTGGTAGGTAGATTCTGCCTCTGCTCTGCTCTTCTTGGCAATGTCCTCATACTGAGCCTTCACCTCAGCAATGATACTGTCCAGATCCAATGCTCTGTTGTTGTCCATTGAGAGGATGACTGAAGTGTCAGAGATCTGAGACTGCAGCTGAGCCATTTCCTAAGTAAACAGATAAAGAAATAAAGCCCTTTTTTTATCCATTTATTAACAAACTGGTTAACATGCCGTTGTAATATTGTAAAGTTATTGTAACCAATAATAGAAACATGCTTAAAACAGATGGACATGCATTATCCATTCTATTGTACATATAATTTCTAGGTGGGGATGAGTGAAACTAATTTAGCCACAAATTTACAGATTTCACTATTGCTTTTTTCACAGTGATTTACTCACTCCTGAAATTATCCTAACTCAGTATGTTCAATAAGTTTGGGGGTGCAAACAAAAACCGCGTTGGATTTTCGTCATACTGAACCTGTTTTTTGCCTTATGTTTAACAATCTTTCTATTTTTACCACTTTTGTTCTGCACTGATTGCAATCTTTTTAAACTGGATTAAAAACAAGAAAACAATTGTATGCCTTACTTGTTCATAGAGGCTCCTGAGGAAGTTGATCTCATCAGTTAAAGCATCAACCTTGGCTTCCAGCTCCACCTTGTTCATGTAGGCAGCATCTACATCCTACAATGACATCAAAGAATGTTGAATTATGTATAAAGTTACTAAGAAAAAAAGGATCCGTACAAGAAAAGGCCGAACTCCAGGCAAACAGTTAAACATATTGTTTAAATGCATATATGAGAGCTGTTTTACCTGCAAAAATACTTTTTTGTTAAGATTTGTAGCTCTACCAAAAACAGAACCAGGTTGATGACCGGACTCTACAGCAATTACGCAATAAAATGTACTCACCACCCTGCCCTCAGTCTAATACTGGACAGTGAAGGAACTGCAACATAGCTGTGTATAGTGTATGTGAATTACTAGCTTACTTTTGCCTTTTGCAGTAAGCTACTCACCCACAGCAGCATCTCTGCTCTTAGTCATTGCTATCTGTCCTAAGCTACCTTTCTACAGTCTCTGTGTTATCTGTCCTCCATTTCTTCTTGCATTCATATCAGATTTAACTGATACATGTTTCAGCCTGTGATAGCAACTATCTATATGCCACGTTTTTTCCCTGTCACTGTCCCTGCTGTATACTACCATCCAACATTCTTAACTCCTCAAAGATCAATATCCAATGTATATGCATTAACACTTCAGACTTCTGTCTTCGCCATAGAATATGTGTTACCTAACTCAATGATCAATCACCAGAGTATGTGAATTAATTCCTCAGTTACCACTATTCAATGTAAGTGCAATAAGTGAATACACTCTAGAGTATGTACATTAACAATTAGTTACCAATCACCAGAATATGCATGATAATCCTTCAGTGCTCAGTCTGCAGAGTGTTTTTTACCTCCTTGAGTGCCTAGTCTCCACAGTATGCGCATAGACCTCAGTGAACATTCTCCAAAGTACAGAAACCCCTTAGTGATCAATTTTCAGAGTATCTACATTAAACTTGAAATGTGCCAAATATTTGCATTATCCCTTAGCAAACAGTCCCCAGAGTAGATGCATTGACATCTCATTAACCGGTCCCCTGAGTATATGCATTGACATCTCAGTAACCAGTCCCCTGAGTATATGCATTGACATCTCAGTAACCAGTCACCAGAGTATTTTCATTAGCCCCTGAGTGACCAGTCTGTGCACTAAACTGGAACTCCAGACAAACAGCTACATACTTGGTTAATTAAAGATCTTTCCTTAAGGTCAGATATTGCCTATATTTCCAAAAGTGTGCTGTGGTCTATGTTCACCTTTACTTTTAGGAAACCTATTACCACTAGTTTTAAATAAACAACAACTTCACTTTATATTTTACTTGACTTATTTCACTGTCATTTACAGCCTGTACATTTATAGCGTTCTCATACAAGTATGTGCCACAATTGTCTCAATTTACCTTCTTAAGTATAACAAAGTCATTCTCTGCTGATGTCCTCTTGTTAATTTCATCTTCATATCTGCATATAAGAAGAAGTACAGTTATGCACTTCAGCAGCTTATTCAAAGGGACCTGCAATTTCAGATAGGATTTATAACTATCTGTTGATGGATAAAGGAATTTATTTTCTCTTTTCGGAGGTAATCATCTGTCTAACATGTAGGATGTAAAATATCAGTCTGTGACCCCACCCATCTTCTTTCCTCATGTACCACTCATCATTCAGACTCAGTGTTGCTGTAAAATAGGTAACCTGCAGGATTTTAAAGATGTTAAGGATAAGCATTTGGAGCCTGTATTCTTTCCATCTGCATTTTTTTTCTGTTTCATTCTGCAGGTAGTTAACAGAACTGAACAGCTACTGTGAAAATAGGCTAGAGAAATCTAAATTCAGAAGGTTTTACTTTTTGTACATTGCAGGCACATTCTGTATAAGCTTCAGTGGTTGCTCATGTGCCGGAATTGCTTGCTAGCTAAATTCTGCCATGGAAATGTGAATGGAATTCTTTAGGAACATACTGCAGTGCATGGAAACCATTTGTGTTTTCCTAACCTTGAATTTTGTATTTTAGTCACAATATTGATTGAAATTAATAAACATTTTGGGAAAAATTAGTTTACAAAAAAAAAGAGATTGGCATCATTAATAGTGTGTTACAGTACAATATATGTCACTTACCTGTTCTTGAAGTCATCCACTAAGTCTTGCATGTTCCTGAGTTCTCCATCTAGTCTGTATTTATCATTTTGGAGAGCATCCAGCTGCCTTTTTAGGCTGTTCATGTATGCTTCAAACATAGCTTCTATATTGCTTTTGCCACGGCTTCCACCCTTGACTTGCCCTCCTTGCTCTTGCAAGAGGCTCCATTTTGTTTCAAGGACTTTGTTTTGTTGCTCAAGGAACCGAACCTATTTCCAAACATAAACAATTATGAAATACTATTACAAGAAAACTGTAATTCCTTTCAACTTAAAATAACGTCCTCTAAATGAAAATTGAAAGATATTGCATATCTTAGGTATTACATACACATATACCAAACCTATCTCACTTATATTATTTTATAATGTTAATAAAAGACAGCCTATAGATTTTACAAATCAATTAGAAATATTCTATGGTTTAGTTTTAAGTCAGGAAGTAATTGCTATAGTTTAAATACAAAGTAAAATGCATAAACATCTGCTGGTTATTAGTCACACATAAATATAATCTGTGCTAGATATATTCGCAAGCAAACTCAAGTGAAAAAAAAAGCATAAATCTGTAAATCCATTAATGAAAACAAATCTCATTCCAAAATAGAAAAATAGTGCATAATAATATTTAGTCACACACGAATATAATCTGTGCTAAATATATTCACAAGCAAAATCAAGTGAAAAAATGCATACATCTGTAAATCCATTAATGAAAACAAATCTCATTCCAAAATAGAAAAATAGTGCATAATAATATAACAATTTCTTACCTTATCAATGAAGGAGGCAAATTTATTGTTCAAGGTTTTAATCTGTTCCCTTTCTTGGACTCGGACTTTTTGTATGTTAGGGTCAATCTCCAAATTCAGTGGTGCCAGAAGACTTTGGTTAATTGTAACCTCTGTAATACCAGCTTGGCCTCCCCCAGAACCAAACCCTTGACCTCCATATGCAAATCCTCCTGATCCACCACCAAAGCCACCACCACCACCAGCTCCTACACCAAAGCCTATTCCACCACCCCCAAATCCACCTTGACCACCTGCGGTACTGATGGAGATGGTCTTTCTACCTCCCACGTTAAAAAGGCTTCTGCTACCAAAGCCTCCTCCACCGGCTCCACCAGCTCCTCCAGCTCCTCCACCACCTGCAGCACCTCCAAAGCTTCCACTACTTCTGGACACAGAGAATGAGCTGAAACCCTTCTGGGCTCCACCACCAAACTGCTTAAATTGACTCATCGTGGCTTAGATATATAAAAAGATGAAAATGTGAATAAGCTGAAAAATGAGATGGATGAAAGAGACAGGACGCCTCTGAGTGCAAACCACTGGAACGTCTCCTATATATACTCTGTGCTTGGTCTGCAATGGGTGAAGGATATCAGTTTACAGAATTAATATGCTTGACATGCCTGGAAGGAAGGACAGAAAAAGTGCTTTTCGCTTTAAACTTTTCTCTAATGAAAATGTCTGGAATGACATTGCTCCAAGGCTTTCATGATGCAGAGATAGCTTTTTACACTACCAAGTGAAAACATTTATCAAGAATAACCAGGTAATTTCTTAAGTCCATAATCATGTAATGTGCAAAAGAAATAGTAGTGGCTACTTATCATAATTATTGAAAAAAATAAAGCACAAGGAAAATACTATATTGGTATCTGCACAAAACAAAAAAGTTCTATGTTACAATTTAATGTCATTAAATTGTCATCTTCTATAATGATGCACTGAACCAGTCACTCTGCTGATGAATTATATACATTATAACTCCAACTAATACAGTGTGCAATGTTAATCTGCAGATTCTAGAGCAGGCAAGATACCTTCTTGTGATTGTGTGAGTATTCACCGTTATATTTCTGTTTACTTATTTCCTCTGCACACGATTTGCTATTTTAAACGAATATTCAAAAAATATATATTGTGTGAACATTTTCAACCCTTTCAATAAATCGGCCTAATCCTTCCCCTGTGCAGAGCATTAGTTTCATGTCTTCCTGGATATGTAGTTCAGTTTTATTTTCCCTTGAGAAAATGTGTTTAAAGGGGGATCTAAGGGAACTCTTTGGACCTGGAGGAAAAAAAGTGTAACCTTCTTAGAAAGGCCTCTTTACAGTAAGAGTTGTGATCATGTGAAATAGACTTCCATGCACACTTTTTCTAGCTGTTTTCAAAATCCACAATATATGTAGGTGTCTATTCATTTTTATAAACATTGTTGATCCAGGAAGTATATTGTTGCCTTGGGACAGGAGTAGCCAAACTTCAGCGCTCCAGCTGTGGTCTGGGCCTGGATATGCAAAGTATGTAATTAGATTAGGGCTATGCATTAGGGCCTGCACGGATAATTGGTAAAAGATTATTTAGCATAGTAAGTAAGAGGGTTTACACAGAAGAGAGTTATGTAGACGTAAGCACCTATTACAGACAATAGCAACAGAAGGTTGTCTACTGCTCAGTAACGTGCGGTACATTTAGTTCCGGGTGAGGCATTCCCCAGCCTCACCCCCAGCATGTCCTGCCCCGCCCCCCCCCCAATGAA